CTTTGTGTGTACGTCTGTGTATGTGTGTGTGTGTGAGAGAGAGAGAGAGAGACAGACAGGCAGACAGAGAGATACTGGCTCAGTGCATGGTTGAATTGAAAGTGGATTATAATGTAGTGGTATTACATAAACTAGCCAGAACAACAACATAGATCATTAGGGTTATTTGAATAGTCGCTGAATATTTCGTACAATAATCACTCGCACAAAAATATTATTAGAACAAAGACCATTGAATCACTTCAAAAGCACCCGCTTCTGTTTAAGAGAAAAACGTCCACTTTATAAAATAATGAGAATTAAAGAGTTGATAACCTTCAGGCTTTTTCTTGTTATCTGTAGTATTCGTACTAATTACGAATATTATTCGAGTAATACGCAGGTATACATTTCAACATAGAGCATTTATTTCATCAACTAGTTAGGAGCCCCCCACCCCCAAACAAAACAAGTGAGCCCGTACGTAGTACGTAATTACCCGAAATGAATACATATTAATTTGCGATACAAACAAATACCATATCACCATGTAAACAAAGTACCCAATAAATATCCAACACAGACTACTCGACTGGTAGCGTTTCCTCGCGCGGAGGGCCGAAGACCAAACTGGTAGTGGGTCGTTCGTTATTACATGTACTTAAACACATATGAGGGTTTCTGCTCACGGACGAGATGCAACTTCGCTCACGAACACTGGAGTTAGCACGCGACACTGATCTTCAGTTCATGCCTCGGTGGACAGACTCAGTTTGTAACTTATTATGCAAATTACAATATTAACTACAGTTCGTGCACTCGGCGATTACCGCACTATTGCACTCATTAAAATTACATTCACAGCAGTTCTAATGCCAAAATTGCCCGAAACAGAACTCTCATTTACACAAAGGCAATGAAAACTTTGATTTTGCAAGTTTACAACAAAAAGCGCAGACACGTCTACGCGCAACAGACAGTCCTTCCATTTTGATTTAACTCAGTTTTTTTCTGTGGTGAAATACCGTTAGAGATAAATAAAAGTTGGAAGAGCTTTGTTTTAATTCAGTAAACTCATTTAAAATTGTTCAAAATGTTCTGTACGATTTGGTGGCTTTGGTTGATTGGCTAAGGCGTACCGCGGCCAAGGCTTACAACACTTCATCAAAACCAGGAACAAAACTGGAGGATGCTACGATTGGAGGCGCTAGTGTCGCCGGCGGCAGCTGCAGATGAGACTGCACATGCACATGCAAATTGCACTGCAGCTGCACAAGCAAATTGGCTAATTTGTGAGATATACCAATAATGGCTTCTAAATGTTCAATTATTCATAATATATACATATAAGATACCTCTGAAGAAAGCGCGAACATTGGCGCCATCTTTTGTAACATTATAAGCCTGCCTGAGTCTCCCAAATCCACGCAGCAGCCACGCACGTTTTAAGTATCGCTGGCAGCTGTTTGTATTTTAGTTCCTTCAAGAAGGTGCTGCAGGAGAGAGCGCCACTATAATAGTTTCCACCACGTTTTTTACGAGTTGAAAGGCCGTGGCGGATGTCGCTGGTTTTTCGAGAATCAGCTTCGCGGCTGTACACCTGTGCGGTCAGAAGTGTATCCCGCATTCCTGCAGAAGAAGACAATTGCGGCTACTTTAGATAAGAGCCAATGGATTTGAAATAAAATGTGTGTTCAAAGCATCAAATACGCGCTGTGGTGCCTTCTCAGAAAACATAATCATAATTGCAGTTTGTGCATATGTAACACTGTGTTCTTGCCTGAAGATCGACGAAGTTCTGTATACACATACATACAGGTCGTGATTTATAAAAGTGTAGGTTCGGGAATGCGCCACAAACTAACACTATATA